TTCGACTATTAAGCTACGGCACGCTCATCTGGGGTCAGGATGGCGTCCATCGAGTACGCGACTAGAACACAACGATCAGGCGGTGACCTAGACTATGACTCAACAATAACGGGAACTTACACTTGAAGCTGTCGTTATACTCAACCCAAACAGTGCCTGTAGCAACGTTATCGCACACGTTCGCTGGGGATCCAGGGAACTTGAATGGTCTCGAAATTAGCAAGCCTTCAGGAAGTAGGGATCATGCATACATCGGGATCGTTGACCACAAGGTTGTGGGAGTGATCACCGTGGTCAAGAAGCGCGGCGGCGTCGATAGCGTTATGCGCCTGCGTAGATACTGCAATGAATTTATCGTCAGTGCTGGTAAGGCGGGAGGGAGGGTACATCCTACATGAACCGAATTCCGTGTCCGTCATCAACGTGCAGGTCTTCTTGGCCAGGTGCATCGGCGCAGCGGAAATGAGTATGGCGCAGGACGTGACTGCGAGGAGCGTAGACTTGAGACCGAACATGATGAAGTCGCAGTGAAGAGAAAATATATGTTTAGTTGGAAAGAGAATTGTAGGACGCTTTCAAAGCGGGAAGAAGAGGAATGAAAAAAATGGGGAGCTCCCTTGGCCTCTTTATACCTTCCAATTGCCCAAGGTGATGCCACATCTGCTTCAAGAATTAGATTACGATGCTGCACAACTTCCGAATCTGCGACTTCGATGTACGGATTTAGGTCGCTTTTATCTGCGATCAACAGGGAGCGAGGCCATATAATTGCTGCGTTCTTTTTCACGGCAGTGCTGGTCGTTTCATACTAAACACGTTCACATGATTCAGATCGTCCCGGGCGTATTCTTAGGCCGACGTAAACGTTCCCAGAAGCACATGAAGCAAATAAAGGCATATCCGCTCATCGCGATCCGCTGCTGATCATTCGCATTCCACATTGTTATTGATTTCTAACTGTCAGAATTGGCTGTTACATGGTGCAAAATATTCAGGGAAATAAGTGAGTTGCAGATCTTCCTTCGTATGAGATGATCATCTACACAGCCCTCACTTGAAGTGGGACTGTCATGAAAGTTCCCATCGGTTGATCACCTGCATCTGCATCTGCCACTGGTCAGCCAGGTAAAAAATGGGTCGTATCAGAGCTGGGATGTGGATCAGCCTATTTTTCAACTCTGATTTTTTATGATCCGCAGAAATCAAGTCGGCCACTGCTTTTCCGAATCAAGTGGCTCTCAAGAGCGACAGGAATCGCTTTGGGAGTTCCTGACGGGAAAGAGCATATAGAACTTTTGGATTGTCCTTTGAGCTCTTGGTCGGTCGGAACCACTCCGGAGGTGCCGAGGAATTTTGAAACAAAACATTTATGTCGCTGTCGGCGGCAGGAGAATTGGCACCGCACCGGCACGGCGCCTACTCACGAGCGCTATACCAGGGTTAGAGCGCTAAGCATTAAAGGGAATGCAATCTTGGGCGGCAAGATGGGTGAGTCACAATGTCAAACTTCTCGTCCATGCAGCGGGCAAGTCAACTGGGAAGCAAGTTAGCTGCCAATAGCAAAGATCCAATACCTTATAAAAACTCCGTACAATACCCGGAATTCGAGTAGTTGGAAACGGAAGCATCGGGCCAAGCTTCCACCGCGTACTTCGGGCTGCGAGACGGCGAAAGGCAAGAGATGATCGTGTTTGGCTACCGACTACTGCGTAAACAACCGCTACGGGCCGAATGGGGCAGTATGCACTGCCACAGTGGGACTTACCGTCCTCATTCAGGCATCAATTGGCGCTGAAGTTTGGGCGCCTTTGGCAGTAAAAAGAACCATGATACCTTCGATCATGCATGAACCACCAACTGACTCAAGTCGAGTGACCAGTACAGATCGAGGATTCTCAGTGCTTGTTGCTGCCCCAATCTGAAGTCGAAAATTTTCGGGGAAGTTGACCATGAGGTTACAAGTGTTCCCTTTTATGATCAGTCCACGGACCAGAATAATAGACTAAAATGGCGGAAGAAATACAGCACCAACACCAAGCAGCCTAAGAGTTCAGCGAACAACAGGCCGTACTGTATCCGCCTGGTTAGTTGGCCACTTGAAGGTTTTCAACCCCGGACGAAAGGATTACTATGGTTAATCGGGAGTTATAAGTATTCTGGTCGTGTTACACGGCGATGTAATATGGTAATTAGAATGTTCAATGCTCACTAGTAACGGGGACGGGTGCGTGCAGCCGGAGGACCTCGTACGACGTATTCGAGGTACGGGAGACTTGAGCGGAGGTTCTGCTCAGTGAGCGCGAAGAGGGCCCATGTCACCGCGGTGCTAGATTCGCGAAATGGGATAGTTGAGATGGGACGAGGACCCCGAGCAATGAAATCGTTACCTTGTCGTCTCGTGCCCGGCAACCAAGAACGTTGCCGCCTCTGCTGCAAGCCACGGCGGGTCAACCTGGGAAGAGCTTAATTTATATTTGCCAGGAGCGACTCACGGGCAAGCACCTACTCATCTGACAGGCACTGACTCTCCGGGATCTCCTTCGAGGTGTTCGCGGGCACCAGGAGGGTCCAGAGATCCCGGCCACGCCCCGTCTCGGAGGTGCCATTCTCCGCAATCTCGTGTTTGCTTTCCTCGAGGAGCTGCCTCCGAATGCGCACCGTCGTGGCCTGCGACGCGTCGATGATCTTATTTTGTTTCGTGGGCTAAATCATTGCAGACGGAACACCGTGAGTATGAGTAGTTGATGAAGGAGGAAGCTATACAAGTACGATCAATCTCGCCCAGAAGCGGGAACAAAAACTGAATCAGCTGCTACACAAAAAAGTCGATCAGTAACTGCAGTGAAAATGGGAAGCAGAGACCGCCTGTAAAATCACCTTTGCCGACGAGTGAAACACAAGAGCAGCCTACAAGTCGCCGTAGTCATACGTGTGGGAGTTCTGTTCTTGAAGTCGGGATAGGGGGGTCCGATTTTCGAAGGATAGGACGCATAGGACGGTCGAATATGGTGGTAAGAACAGAAAGTGCAGATGACGTGTTGTTTCCATCAGCACCACAAGATAGGCCATCGCTACGCTCCGGCGATTGAAGAATTAGAGGTTTTATTACAGAACGAAGCCGATTTCAATGGAGCAGTGCCGCTTGGGAGGAAGAGAGGCGGGAAAATGAAGAAAAGCTGGTTCAACTGGTGAAGCGGAACATAAAAACAGCGAAACACGCACAGTGGGAAGTATAGGGCGAGAATCCGAAACTGTAATTTATCGCCGGGAAAATTACTGCGGGACTACAGCGTCAAGCTTTGCAACCTGCGGCGCAGTTTTGGCGCAGTCGAAAAAGCGCAGCTGACTGCACTGCTAACAACAACTGCTGTCTAAAGTAGCCCAATTTAGAAGCCAAGGGAAATTGTAGCTGTTGGTGAGAGTAGAATGCCAAAGACAGATGTTTGGTTTGTCCTTGGCTTGGTCTTGGCTAGCTTTTTGAGTGAATCAGAACTGATGAAAGGTAAACACAAGCCCGACATCTCATTAAGAATACGAAGTATCACACAGATGCCGGAGGCGGATCAGCGCATCAACGAGCGATGTGGCGGTGCCGAATAGCCCTTGCTTCCCGTCCCCAAACAGGCGTATACGGCGTTTCGATCTATCAAAGGATTGGTGATGTTCGGGGCGCCATCTGATATAAGAGCCTCTGATTAGCGTGCGGCATGATACATCAGCACACCTTCCTTAGCCCAAATCAATAATAATTACCGCCCGTATTTACCGGCCCAGCGCGCCCCCGCGCGCGCGTGCATCCTGCCTTCCGCAGGGTCCGTGCGCAGGGCGCGTCGCTCTCCAAATGGGGTCCTTTGTTTACACAGGTTATAATTGCACTCTTCCTCTTCCCCTACCTGGATTCGCTTGCCACTGCCCTCCTGCTCCTTCCCGCGTGTGCACACTCTACCCCTGCCTACCTTCGGCTGTCCGCCATGTAGCAAGGGTCCTATCTTGCCCTGTAATGCTCCAATTTGGCCGATATCAGCTTCGCCTTCACGTACCGTCCAGCACCCATTGGCGCTATAAATGCAGCTCGGTTCCCCCGGCTGCCTTTCTTCTTTATCTATACCATGCTGAGGGTCATCAATCACCCCTCCTCGCTGTTCAAAGCTCCACCGCCCCTCCTTCCCTCGCAATCCCGCACACCGTCCCGGCCGCCCATTCCGCCGCCGCCGCTCCCACCGCGCTCGGTTCTTCTTTCCCTTCGGCATGCACCCTCGCTATGGACTAGGCGTGGCATTACCCGACGTATGGGCGCCTACGTGCCTCCGTACACCGCCCAGCGCCGCCCCTGTTCCCGCCGCTCGAAAATGCAGCTCGCAGCTCTTCCGGTGCGTTTTTCCGTGCGAAATCCTATATCTGTTTACTTATTACGATCCCTCATCGATCCCCTGGCTCAGCCGTCCGCTCCTGCCCGCCGTTAGCCGCCGCCTGCCCACCGCTTGGCCGCCCCCCCGCCGCTCGCCCCCGCCGCGCTGCGCACCCTGCCCCCAATGGCCCTCCTACTCACTTACACCCCACCACTACCCCTTCCCACCGCCGTTGTTTCGGCTGTTTTTGCAAGTTGATGGCATACCGGCGGCGTTTTCCACCTACCTTGTGCCTTTACCTCGATCTACGACGTTTCTATTCTACTCAATACTCTCATCCTACCTCGTCGTCACTATATAGCCCAGGCATCTTGCTAGCATCCCCTCCCGTGCTGAAACATCGCGCCGCCCTCCACATTCATACTCGCTTTACCTTCCTTTCCTAGCTAATCTTATTCTATGTCTTATACTGCTTCCAAAAATCCTCAATGATTTTTTTTCGAGCAAAACACATTGTCAGAACGAATTTCCCAAGTCGAAAAAGCCCTTAGTCATACCCATTAGTCACCCACAATATATTCATTTTCCTCCACATACTTCATGAATTCATAGATTTGTCCATAAAAGTGTCTAGGCCACTCTGCAGGTCATGGGCTAGTGGCTCAGCCGGAAGAGCGCCTGTACTTCGTAGGAGTTACTCAAAGAAGTTTATTGGAGGAGCGAGTTCGATCCTCGCCTAGTCCTTATGGGGTTCGATTCTATTTTTTCTTTATTCAAGGAAAAATCAAAATTATTCAACATCTAGCGCCACAAACGAGAAAGAAAAAGAACTCAGAAGTCCCCAAAATTTTTTAAGGAACGTGCGCTACTCAGTGTATACTATCACCCGCTTACTTCAGGTAGGTAATGAAAAAAATAAAAGGTCCAAAAACCGCTATCTCCTTATCTCACAATCTTATCTACGTCTTATGGACCTCGCTCAGCATTCAAGTCTTCGTATTCAAATGATGTACTACGTAGCTACTCGACAGCGGTAACGTCAAGGAGAAGCGAACAAGAAAAGAAGTGAACACTGGTTGAGCAGCGTCCAAGCCTCGGCATCGTTGAGGAAGCTCCACGCCGTTGAAGGCGCAGGTGTCGTTGAGGACGCCTGCCAATACCGTTGAAGGTCTTGTCCCTGCGGTCGTTGAGGACGGAGGGACGCTCATTTATCATCGTTTACGCAGCCGATTTACGCCTGTGCAGATGTTAACCAAGTTAAAAGATGGCTCTCACGACTTACCTCTTCGTGTTCGCTGGCACGCCGCTTTCCTCTGCCGCCCTCTTCCTCCCAGTCCGGGCCAGCAATGCCTCTTCGGTGGCCGCGTGAGGGTTCTTGGAACGGACGTTCTTCACCTGCGGCGCATACTTTGTCCCGTCAGCTAACATCCGCGGTTTACGGGATCGGGTCGTCAGCGTCACAGTGTCGGTGTTCCCGTCCGGATTCGCAGATGAAAACCACCCCCGCTTTGCCTGCTCCTTCACCTCCACCTCACGCTTCTTGGCTTTCTCTGCCGCCTTCCCCGCTGCCACAGCCGCCCGCCGCCCCTCCACCACCTTCGCAAAGTCCCGACTGTTGTTGGTGCTCGTGTAGATGAGGGAGGGCGGCTCGGTCGGTACGGCGGGGGCGGCGTTGACGTCGTTGCCGATGTTGGTGGTGTCCTCCAACGCTCCGCCGACATCCCCCGCATTCGTGGCCGCCACCACCTTCCTCTTTTGCCCCCTTCCCCGCTGAACCGCCCCCACATCGGCTGTGTCTTTCGCCGCTGCTGCCTGGGTGAGCTTCTTCTGCTTCGACGCCGCCACTTGCGCCGCCTTCGTCTTACTCGCCGAATTGGCCGCCGCCGTCTTCTTCTTCTCGGGTGCGCTTTTCACTGGGGGCCGCGATTCCGGGAAAGACCACGACTTCACCGGCGCGGCGCTGTCACTGGTGAGTGAGATGTCAGGAGCGATGACGACGCCGCTCGCAGGAGCAGGTGTAATGATCTCCGGGGCGACAACGCTGCTCGCGGGGATAGGCGTGATGATCGTCGGGGTGACCACGGTGCTTGGGGCCAGGGGTGTAACGGCGGCGGCGGAGGAAACGGCGCTGCTCGCGTGCGCGGTGGACGCATTCCCGACAGGAACCCCCAGTATCTGTGCCAGCGTACGAGCGGCTTCAGTTGGGGTGCTCGTCGATTCACCGTTTGCAGGGGGTAGCGAGCGACTTCCGCGGAGGTGTGGCAAGAGGACCACGGGGGGGAAGGGGTGCCGCAAAACCGACCCCAAGCCGCCGGAAAAGCGGCGTAGGGGGACGAAAAGCTGAGTCGTTCATGGAGGGATTGTTTGCAAAGCTTGAGTTGCGCCATGCTGGTCGTGCCACAAATCGGGGAGGAGCGGTGGGTGGGGATTCGAGGCTCGGGTCGATAGCCATTGTTGCGCCCACAGCGAGACCTCCACGCTCCAGCGCCGCAGCAGCCGCAGCAGTACCAGGGCTGGACGGTGGACCCCAAGGCATAGTCGAGGGGGGGCCCGTCGGAGATGGCGGAGAATAAGTGTAAGTATCAGCGTCGAGATTCGATTGCGCGCCGACGTCATCGGTGCTGTCCATGTGCGAGTCGTCGTGCACCTCGGGTTCCTGTTGCTCGGGTTGCTCCTGCTCGTTGGTGGCATTGTCATCAGATATGTTGACCCGCTGCATGTCGGGCTGCATGTCGGGCTCGCGGGAGACGTCAGTCTCGTTTCGCATCTCTGCGTTGCGGGCCTCGTTTGTGAGATTGGTCTGGTCGCTGGCCTGAAAAGTGGCAGCAGGAACAGGCGCGGGCGGAGCCATCGCCGCGCTCGGCACTGTAGGGCTTTTTGCAGTCTTCTTTGACTTGGTGCGCATCCGCTTCGGTTTCTTCGGTTTGTCAGCAACCTCAACGGGATGGTCGTTGTGAAGACGCGGTTCGTGGTTCACAGGGCGAGTGGGGAGGGCACGAGAACGCCGTTCGGCAGCAGCTGAATGAGACGCCAAATAAGTACATATATTTTCTGCTGCTAAATCATAACTCACTGTAGACCGTGCGGAGCCAGATTTCGAAAGACTTGAGCACATTTTCGTCGAAATCCACGCAGGCGTCTTCGAAGCGATTGCCCGCCGCGCTTTCGCCAAAGCTGATGCTGGAAGTCGAGAATAAAGGGGAGTTTGTCAGTCACGTGCGTATCTCAAATCAGGAATAATCAGATAACTTACATTTTGACACTCAACTCGCCGTTCATCCGTGGGTAGGGTCCGCCCGCAATCGTTATCCCGACCCAGCCCGCCGAGTTGAACGTTGTGGCGTGGACGTCTGAATAAAAGCCGTGCGTCCACTCCCCTGTAACAAATCTTAGCAACAAAAAACAACAGACTCGACATTCGACTCACTCTTGCAGCTCCCAGGGTGTGCGTGACTGAGGAACACTAGCGTCTAGCGCTTCTACAGCCAACTCGGCCTGTCGTATCTCCGCCCTCTCTACCTCGATCTCCGCCTCGATTTCTGCAAGTTCTTCTGGTGAAGCCTCCGCGAACAACGCCTTCACAACTCGTGTCCGCACCCGCATACGTTCAGACTTCGTCGCCTTGACACGCGCCTCCTTCGTGTCCTTCGACTCATCCTCCCAGTCATCGACGTCCTCCGACATCTTCTCCTCGTTCATCTTGTTGTAACCCGCCTCGTCCAGCGCCTTCGCAATCTCGTCCCCGTTACGCTTTTGAAACAGCTCTATAGGCTGGTGAGCCCGACGACGCTTGGTCGTCTTCGACTTGAGAAAACTTGTGAGCACCGACGCGGTTCGCCCACCCGGCGCGCTGCTTTTGCTGTCTAGTTTCTTTTTCTGGTACCGAAACCAATTGTCGAGTTTCTGTAAGGCCAATGAGACTCGACGCGTCGCTTTCTAGATGACTGACGCGACTTACAGCTTTTCTGGACATGATGGCGGCGCCGAGTATCATCATCTCCTCTGGTGTGAGTGGGCGCGCCTGGCGGTCTGTGGAAGACGGGAGGCCGAGGAAGTCCGTCTCGGGGAAATTTTTAAACCAGGCCTCCTGTAGCGGGGCCCAGAAGAGATGCAGCTTGCCCTGAGCTTGCCGTTTTATGAACTCGGCCATCCAGCCTTGCAAGAAGGCCTTCTGCTCGGCGGTTGCCCAGCTCGGGGGTGCCATAGTGCGCGCAGGGGATATAGGTAGGGGGAAATGTCAGAAAAGACGAGTGCAAAAGCGAAGTGGGGGATATCCTGGGGCAGTAAAACGCCCCCGTTACTATATAATCAATGTTTTTTGCAAGGTAAACCTTGTTGTCCGTGCAATTTTCGCTCAGTATATTCTTACTCCTCCCGCACAGATTACCTTTCACGGCCGCGTTCCCGTCACATATCTCTTTTCCACCTCACAATTTCATCTCAAACCCTCCCCTTTTTGGTCTCACGCTCAACGTTGCCAAGAACCCCAACATGTCCTCCCGTCAACATGTGCCGGGGGCCATGCGCTTCTTACATCAATCTCTATCTCATCCAATCTCTTGCCGTTCCGATTTAACGGTCAGGGTCTATGCAAATCCGGAGCTTCGCTTTGCCGCCCTTATCAGCAGCTCATCGCCCATTTCATCGCCCACTTCCTTTCTCCCACTTTCATCTTGACAATGACCGACCACAGCACCTCCTCGCCCAATGCCGCCACCCCCGAGCAGGAGCTGGCGGCGCTGCTCGCGAATGTGGCCCTCGTGTCCAAAGCGGCGCTCGACATGACGCAGCATTGCATCAATCTCCACGGTGAGCTTCCCTCTGCGTCTCCTTCACAATCACTGAGTGTTCGACGCAGACACCATTCCCGACGTTATCGCGTCGCATGTCACCGCCGCTCTCGCCGCCGCTACCGCCCCAGCCCCAGCCCCAGCCCAGCGTCAGTCATGCCCCGTCTTCATCACATTTTCGCCGCTAACACGTCTATACAGCCGCTGGCCCCGAGTTTGCCGAGACCGTTGCTGTCACCCCCGACCAACTCGATGCACGTTGGCCCCCCGATTCTCGCTAGTATCAGGCGTACTATGTGGTCACTCACGCCCGGCATCTACACCAATAGGTGATGCCCTTTCCCTTAATCTCCCCTCTCCGCTCATTATCTTGTAGTGATGACTGCGATGAACAGGTCCTCGGTGTTCCCAAGCAGTCACGCATGAAGAAGACCAGCCGCGCCGAGGCGCTCAACTACTATCGCCTCTCCTGGGGCAAGGGCTTGGTTCACAAGCTCAACGAGGTCGTCGCCGCCCCTGCTGTCGCTTCCGCTGGCCCTTCGCACGCGCACACGCAGTCGCAGTAGTCGGGTACGTGCTTTTTCCATAGTTTTTACTGTCCTCTACTCACTCTTTCTGTTCAATAGCTTCTCATAGTTGCAAGTCGATAGCATTAGTTAGCCCTACCGTCGTGAATAAATTCGTTCTGTTGTTGTCGCCATCGTTCCCCTTTGAGCATCAAAGCACGCAATCTGTTGATTTAAGAAATTATGCATTTGGAGCTAACTACATGCGAGGTGTACACGACGTTCACATGCAGAACGTAAGATGCAAGGTTAAAATTCAATCAACTGCTTTCCTAGGCGGTCGAAGAAGGCACGAACAGGAAGCCCACGCTTGTCCCGTATGCGATGTAGCCGAATGCTGTTCTCGGCAATTTCTCAGATGATGGAATTCTCGAGAAGCAGGCGACGC